TGGGGACATACAGACAATGAGACTGACCACTCTCAGGGAAACAAAGTATACCTAAACCCTCACCTTGTAAAACACACCCATTCAGTTTAAAAAAGAAATTTAAAACATTTGTGTATCCATATAAAAAAAAAAAGAATATACCGTATTTTCCGGCGTATAAGACGACTGGGCATATAAGACGACCCCCTACTTTTCCTGTTAAAATATAGGGTTTGGGCTATACTCGCCGTATAAGACTACCCCTCTTCCAACGCACACCAAATAAAAATTAAAAAACATCAGATTTGATTTCAATATGGTATAGTATTTCATTATGTATTCTCCTCCCACTGACACCAATGATAGGGCAGGATTCCTCCCACTGACACCAATGATGGGACACTATTCCTCCCACTGACACCAATGATGGTGCCCCATCATTAGTGTCAGTGTGTGAGGAATAGTGTCCCATCATTAGTGTCAGTGGGAAGAATCGTGCCCCATCATTGGTGTCAGTGGGAGGAATAGTGTCCCATCATTGGTGTCAGTGGGAAGAATCGCGCCCATCATTGGTGTCAGTGGGAAGAATCGTGCCCCATCGGTGTCAGTGGGAGGAACAGTGCCCCATCATTGGTGTCAGTGGGAGGAACAGTGCCCCATCATTGGTGTCAGTGGGAGGAACAGTGCCCCATCATTGGTGTCAGTGGGAGGAACAGTGCCCCATCATTGGTGTCAGTGGGAGGAACAGTGCCCCATCATTGGTGTCAGTGGGAGGAACAGTGCCCCATCATTGGTGTCAGTGGGAGGAACAGTGCCCCATCATTGGTGTCAGAGGGAGGAACAGTGCCCCATCATTGGTGTCAGAGCAAGGAATCGTGTCCCATCATTGGTGCCAGTGGGAGGAATAGCGCCCCATCACTGGTGTCAGTGGGAGGAATAGCGCCCCATCACTAGTGTCAGTGGGAGGAATAGTGCCCCATCACTGGTGTCAGTGGGAGGAATAGCGTCCCATCACTGGTGTCAGTGGGAGGAATAGCGTCCCATCATTGGTATCAGTGGCAGGAATAGCGCCCCATCATTGGTATCAGTGGCAGGAATAGCGCCCCATCATTGGTGTCATTGGCAGGAATAGTGTCCCATCATTGGTGTCAGTGTGTGAGGAATAGTGTCCCATCATTAGTGTCAGTGGGAAGAATCGTGCCCCATCATTGGTGTCAGTGGGAGGAATAGTGTCCCATCATTGGTGTCAGTGGGAAGAATCGTGCCCCATCATTGGTGTCAGTGGGAAGAATCGTGCCCCATCATTGATGTCAGTGGGAAGAACAGTGCCCCATCATTGGTGTCAGTGGGAGGAACAGTGCCCCATCATTGGTGTCAGAGGGAGGAACAGTGCCCCATCATTGGTGTCAGAGCAAGGAATCGTGTCCCATCATTGGTGCCAGTGGGAGGAATAGCGCCCCATCACTGGTGTCAGTGGGAGGAATAGCGCCCCATCACTGGTGTCAGTGGGAGGAATAGCGCCCCATCATTGGTATCAGTGGCAGGAATAGCGCCCCATCATTGGTGTCAGTGGCAGGAATAGCGTCCCATCATTGGTGTCAGTGGGAGGAATAGCGGCCCATCATTGGTGTCAGTGGGAGGAATAGCGCCCCATCATTGGTGTCAGTGGGAGGAATAGCGCCCCATCTTTGGTGTCAGTGGGAGGAATAGTGCCCCATCTTTGGTGTCAGTGGGAGGAATAGCGCCCTATCTTTGGTGTCAGTGGGAGGAATAGTGCCCCATCTTTGGTGTCAGTGGGAGGAATAGTGTCCCAACATTGGTGTCAGTGGGAGGAATAGTGCCCCATCATTGGTGTCAGTGGGAGGAATAGTGCCCCATCATTGGTGTCAGTAATAGTGTTCCATCACTGGTGTCAGTGGGGGGTGGAATAGTGCCCCATCGTTGGTGTCAGTGGGGGGGGAAATAGTGCCCCATCGTTGGTGTCAGTGGGGGGAGGGAAATAGTGCCCCATCGTTGGTGTCAGTGGGGGGGGGGGGGATAGTGCCCCATCATTGGTGTCAGTGGGAGGAATAATGCCCCATCATTAATATCAGTGACACCAATGATGGGGCACTATTCCTCCCACTGACACCAATGACACTTGCTGACCCCTGATCCAGTATGGTGCTGCTGCAGCCAGCATAATTGGTTGCAGCAGCACCTCTGCACGGCACACTTACCAGACGCTCCCTCACTCGATTTTCGTGGGGCCGCTCGGCTCCGCCTCCTCTCCGGTGATTGGCCGCCTGTGTGCCTTTCCAGAGCTACAGTTCTGGCGGCCAATCATCGGTGAGGAGGCGGAGCCGAGCGGCCGCATGAACATCCAGCGGCCAAACTGAATGAAGGAGCAGCCGCGCTTCCTGGACTGGATCGTCGTGGGACTGGGACCGGAGCCAGGTAAGAAACAGCAGCCCCCTGCCCACCCCTGTACTTAGTGTCCCTTCCGTTGGAAGGGGGAGGGGGCGGCACCACGCCGCCGCCCCCCCTAAAAAGTGCTGCCCTGACACCAAGTGTTAGCATGCCGTATACCGACGTATAAGACGACCCCCGACTTTTGAGAAGATTTTCAAGGGTTAAACAGTCGTCTTATACGTCGGAAAATACGGTAAATACTTTTTTCCCCTTTTATATAAGTGATAACATACCCTCTGTTCTCAGCTGCACAGAGATGTGGGGGGAGGAGAAACAGCAACACACTGAACTTCCCAGTGAATGGCTGTGCAGGATGGGTGTGCCAGGACAAGTCTGATCATGGGAAGAGATCAGACAGTCTCAAGCACAGCTACAGAACTGACCATGCTGTGCCCTCCTGCCTAGTGTGGTTAGTTTTTCATAGGAAAGCAGAGGGACTGGCAGGAACACCATGGATTTCACACAAAGGAAGCAATAAAAAAAAAAAAAAAAAAAAAAAAAAAAAAAAACAGGACACTTTTTTATACAAGTACATGGTACATCATGCACATATCAGGAATTTAAAAAGTTGTTTTTTAGATATGCTTTAGGACAGAAAACCTGTTGAGCGCTACTGTTCTCCCTAAGGTAAGCACTAGCAGCTGCATCTGGCTGTGCTACTCTTCTCCTCCCCAGAAAATACCTTTGTTTATTGAATGCTCAGCTCTTACAGGTGCCAGAGGTGGTGGGATCAGTTTTGTACACCCTAGTGCACCCTGTGTCCTGGGGCATCCTGCCGCTGCTACTTTTAGTTAAAAAAGGATACAGTTCATGATTAATTGAAATAAGTGCCTAGTCACAAAGAGGGCACATATATAACAATATAGGATGAAAACTGTTATATTTCTGGGTTTTTTGTGATTCTATTTTGATATGTGTCTCCTCACTAAGGCTTCGTTTACATGGGCATACTATAGTGTATGCCCATGAGAGAGCCAAGTTTGCTCGCATGGGATGCACAGATGTGCAGCCAGCCTCATTTATGTGCATTCACTGCGATGCAGTGACTGCATGGACACAGTCGCTGCTCCCAATTTGACATCCATATGGGTGCAGGTGTGTAGCAATGAACACAGACAGTGCGTGTTTGGACTGCACCTACACGACTGTCAAATTTGATCAAGGTCTGTGAACTGGGATATGAATGAGGCATGAAGGGTATTTCCCCTTACTTCTAGTTTTGGTACCACAAACATAAGATTTATCACAGAATGCGATAAAAACAAACAACAGATTTAAACTCTTCCACACTCTACTGAAGTAAGCATATAGGAAAGGAGAAATTATTCTAAAACAAGGTTATAGTTAGCAAAAAAAAAAAAAAATCATGAAAAAGAGGCTGTAACCCTTCCCTACTCAATACAAAACTAAAGTTATTTATTTATTTCAGGTACTTGTATAGCGCAGCATTTACGCAGCACTTTTCCTAATAAATTGTACATTCACATCAGTCCCTAACCCTCAAGGGGCGTACAATCTAAAATAAAAATTTTGCCCGAATTTAGGTTTTAATATACAGGATACATTGAGGATATACAGTACAGGTCTCTAGTATTTTGTAACTGAAGAAGATGCCTCTCTGTGGCTCCCTATAAATTAGTTGCATAGAAAACTGGAGAAGTGTACAATACACAAGTACAAAGAATAATTTCCAACACCATCCCTACTCCTCTGGTCCCTGCTGTTATCTACCGTACTAAGAGTCATCCGCCCCCTACATCTGCTGTTGTACTGCTCCATTCACTTTTAAAGCTGTACTAGTCATGGTTGCTATGTAGCAGTGTATTGATGCATAGTGCTTGCAGTCATTGTCCAGGGCTGTCACATGACCAAGCTGACCAAGGGAGGAATACGTATGCGAAGCCAGCAGCTTGAAGGACACATCACGCTGAAGTTAAGGCATTTCCCTTGTGCTGATTTTTTTTTTTTTTAAAGAAAACCACAGATTATGTGATTTTCTTCTCTGCAACGACAGGATGCAGGAAAGAAAATTGCTCGGTACCGCCATCAACACAGTCAGTGTTGATGAGAGAATACCTTGGAAAATCCCTCCAAAAAAATCTGCCAGGCTGGTTGTACCCAAGTTGATCGATGGATCAACTTGGGTCCAATCAGCCTGCCCATAGACTTATCGAACAGCAGAAACCGGCTGAGATTCAATCCATCTGTGGTTGGATTACAAGTGTGTCCAATTAACTAATGCTCTAAGTAATATACATTATTAATACTTTACAGAATTCATATAGCATCAACAAACCCCTACAAAGTAACATGCGTATTCCAAACTTATATAAAAAGAGAAGGCTTGGAGACCTCCACTCAAAATGATTGCCGATTGTTCACTGCAATCTGAACAATCTATTAGAGATCAAAATAATCCCTCTAAAGCACTATCGAACTGTTCTGAATTACAGACAGACAATTGAAGCTAAATATCTTGTTAATGTCTGTTAAATTGTGGGATAAATAACTATATCCTCCTGGAACACAATGGTAAAACACAACCTTTCAAAGAAATTCTATTTTCTTACCTGCCATCCAGACTACGGTGTTCTTGTTGCTTATCCATGCGTATCATTGGCTTTACCATGCCACGCTCTGTAGAGCTTGCCATTTTATCACTGTCCAACTTACTAGAACCCTAGAAAAAAAAAAGTCAAAACAATTATTCACTTAACCTAAATATGGTGAACACATTAAAATAAGTTATTGTTAATTTAATATTAATATATACACACACACAAAAGTGTCCTATTCTGGGCTCAGGTTGGATCAAGATGATGAATGTCTGTTGAATCTAACTGACATAGATGATCAATGTGTCTGCATCTACACTCTAAGGTCTTTAACAGTGGCCCGGGATCCCCCAAAACTTAGTTCTGTTAGGAAAAAAGCCCACTTGGAAGACAGTGTGTAGGCGATGCACACAAAAGCAACAGTCACAGATGGGCACACAGGCAGGTCAAAAACATGTCTTCTACAAACAGGCAGATGTGTACAAGAATGATGGGAATGCTTGCCTAGAGACATGCATGGAGGAGGAGTAAATATGAGATAAGAGCAGAGATGTCAGCATACAGGAGTAAAGACAGTGCAAGTGATATGCCACATAATACTAATACTAATTCTGTTTAGTGGTTTAGGGTGGCTTCTAATTGATCCTCTATTCTTTGGCCACAGGGCAGTGTACCCGCGGTTTTCATGTGAGTTAGCTGCACTTTCCTATAGACTTCTATTTCATCTCACGGTTTTGGTGTATTTTCTGAAAGTGAACCAAAACTATGAGGGACATAATAGAAAATCTATGGGAAAGAGCAGCTAACCTGCACAAAAACTGCAGGTGCACTGCACTGCACCTGCGCTGGGGGCAAAGCACAACAGATCAGTGAGAAGCCACCCATGTACTTTACACATAAATACTTTGTGATCCCCTGGCAAAAAGCTAGACACTATATTTAGGACTGGTTCACACCTGAATTACTTTGCATCTTAGTGCAGTGCAATTTTCAGCCCATTCATTTGAATTGGTTGAAACTGCAAGGGATTGCACAAAAGTAGTGCATGACCTACTTTTTTAAAAACACAACACACCAAATCGCATGTTACTGCGGTACAATGTGATCCGGAGTAGGCAAACACAAAGCGCACGTTTTCCGTGCCGTGCTCTGTGTGAATGAATCCTTTTCAACAGTTAGGTCTGTTTGGTAGAAAACAACAAAATGGCACAAAACAAAAATAGTTATACCTTATTAGACTGCAGCGATGAGCCACTAAGTACATCTCCTTCCAAGCCAAATGTGGTTTCCTGAACCCTAAAAAGAACGACACGTGTTTAGCATTCTCAGAATAGTATATTTTGGTTTCATTCTTCCCTCTAAACTCCTTCAAAGGATCATAATAGAAAACATTCTGGTAATACAATATGCAATGCAAATTACGCACTATCCATCAGAACAATATACACCTTGTTCCAAATTATTATGCAAATTATATTTTTCTCATTTACCTAAATAATTGATGTAAATAACAGTCAGCATAATTCTCATGTTATCAAATATTAAGAGTACAATTCAAATTTTATTGAACAAACCTCCTAATGATAACAGTATTTTTTTTTAAACATAAAAATCTTACAATGCCCTGTTCCAAATTATTACGCACAGTAAGTTTCAAAACACTTTATAGGTTGTAAAGAACTGAAAATTGTCATTTGTTGTGTTTGCAGCATATTTACTGAAATCAAAAGCTATTTCAATCAAACTTTTAACAACATTTTAACTTTTTAAACATTTTAACAGGTCACGTTACATTTTAACATAGGACCCCTTATTTGATAGCAGCTTCACAAGTCTTGCATCCATTGAACTTGTGAGTTTTTGGACAGTTTTTCTGCTTGAATTTGTTTGCAAGATCAGAATAGCCTCCCAGACCTGCTGTTTGGATGTAAACTGCCTCCCACCCTCATAGATCTTTTGCTTGAGGATGCTCCTAAGGTTCTCAATAGGATTGAGGTCAGGGGAGGATGGAGGCCACACCATGACTTTCTCTCCTTTTATCCCCATAGCAGCCATTGATGCAGAGGTATTCTTTGCACCATGAGATGGTGCATTGTGATGCATGAAGATGATTTTATATGGAAAGCATAGTTCTTCCTTCTGTACCAGGGAAGAAAAGTGGTCAGTCATAAACTCCACATACTTTGCAGAGGTCATCTTTACACCTTCGGGGACCCTAAAGGGGCCGACCAGCTCTGTTCCCATGATTCCGGCCCAAAACACGACTCCACCACCGCCTTGCTGACGTCGCAGCCTTGTTGGAACAGGGTGGCCGTCCACCAACCATCCACTACTCCATCCATCTGGACCATCCAGGGTTGCACGGCACTCATCAGTGAACAGGACTGTTTGAAAATTAGTCTTCATGTATTTTTCTGCCCAATGCAGCCGTTTCTGCTTGTGAGCCTTGGTTAGTGGTGGCCAAATAGAAGGTTTATGCACAGCTGCAAGATTCTGGAGGACTCTACACCTTGATGTCCATGGGACTCCAGAGGCACCAGCAGCTTCAAATATCTGTTTGCTGCTATGTAATGGTATTTTAGCAGCTGCTCTCTTGATCTGATGCATGGATCTGGCAGAAATCTTCCTCAATGTGCCTTTATCTGCACGAACCCATCTGTGCTCTGAATCAGCCACAAATCTCTTAATAGTGCGATGATCACGCTTAAGTTTTCGTGAAATATCTAATGTTTTCATACCTCAGCCAAGGCATTGACCTATTTCACTCTTTTCGGCAGCAGAGAGATCGTTTTTCTTCCCCACATTGCTTGAAAATGGTGCTCTGCTTAATAATGTGGAACACTCTCATTCAGTAGTTTTTCCTTAAATTGGGCTCACCTGCCAATCTAATTATCACAGGTGTCTGAGATTGTTTTCAGTGATCAAAAGAGCCCTGAGACACAATGCCATCCATGAGTTAAACTGAAAAACAAAATATTTAATCTTTGTGACACTTAACTAGAATTTGCATAATAATTTGGAACGGGGTGTATAGTTGCCTGATATTCAGGCAGATAAAAAATGCTTGGGTGCAATAGAGGAATGGATGCCATTCAAATCTGTTCCTGGAGTCCAGTTTGTAAGATGGCCTCAGCCATCGTCGATGAATGCGTTCTGCCCTGCCCATCGGGGCTTGACCACAGAAGCAAAGACAAAGAGCTAGAGAATATATCTGCATCATCAGCCGTGATCAAGAAAGATGTGTAAATATAAACAGGTGTGTGCAGGTGTATAAAAAAAAAAACAGGAGAGAACTAAACAAAATCAAAAACGTATATTAAAAGAGTGAAGGAGAGAAAAAAAAAAAAGGAAAAATTTATGACAAGAAGGAAATATGTATAATAAATATTTTTTATTATATATAGATTTCCTTCTTGTCATACATTTTTCCTTTTTTATTACTTAGTTTTCTTTTTTTCCTCTCCTCATTTTTTTCATACAAATGTTTGATTTTGTTTACTCTCTCACTTTTTTTTTATACACCAGCACACACCTGTTTATATTTACACACCTTGCTTGATCACGGCTGATGATGCAGATATATTCTCTGGCTTTCTTTGTCCTTCTTGCCTCTGTGATCAAGCCCCCGTGGGTGGGGTGAAAACCATCAGAGGGCATGGCTGAAGCACCGGCTCAAGCCATTGTACACATTGGACTCCTGGGACTGGTTTGAACAGAGTCAGTTCCTCTATTGGACACAAGTTAGAGGAACGATTCACAGACGCTTCTCCCCTTTTCAATACTGATGGGGTGATCACCTTTTGTTTCCTGGCTTGAAGCGCCGCCACAAGCTCTTTTATACAGATAAAAAAAAATGCTATGTGAAAAAAACATTTAAAGTGGAACTAAAGACAAAAAAAAAAAAAAGTCTTTCTTTATCTTGGATAGAGTAAGAAAGGGTTATTCTGATGGGTAGTACATTATTTGCATTGCATTTTGGTGAAGCTCTCTACTGGGGACACAGACAGCAATAAATGCCATGTTCTAAACCCGCTCTGCTCTATTCAAAACTTAAAAAAAAAAAATTAGCCTTTACACTTCAATATTCACTAATCAAATAATCAATGTAAGCGTTGCTAAAGCTTCATGATCAGTGTCTAGAAAGTTCACTGGGGTATGAAAGCGCAGTGAAAGGATTTTGCCCCTTTGCTTAGGTTGGCAATTTTTTTTTTTTTTTTTAAACGTAAAAGTGAATTAATTAGCATATAAAACAGATCATTATTATATGTTTTCCTATAAGTCTTCAGGAAAGTACACCCGATATAATCCTTTTGGGGCAAAGCAGAAAGCTCATCCCGTAAAAGTGTCATATTGCATAGTAAAAATATCCCCAAAAATTCCTTTAACATATTAAAAAGATTTGAGATTTTAGTAACTGTATTTACATATACTTTAACCACTTGCCCTCCAGAGGATTTACCCCCCTTCCTGACCAGGCCATTTTTTCGCGTTACGACACTGCATTATTTTAACTAACAATTGTGCGGCCATGCAACATCTCATGAGATCAATAGGTCATGAGCAGTGTGCCGAAGCTGTCAGGGAGGAGAACGGTTTGGTTTACTAACAGTTCTCTCCCCCCTCCCCGTCGGATATCTTCGGCAATCACTGGGCATGGGCAAGTAATCACCAGCCAGGACCCAGAGATTAACAGCCGCGGCTGCGAATGGTGACGCAGGTAGGGCGTGTGCCCCCTACCCGGAAATGCAAAATCATGTATATATATATATATATATATATATATATGTAGCAATATTTCTGCTATGGGGCGGAGCAGAAGTAATTAAAAGTCCTTTAGAGATATATATATATATATATATATATATATCATACATACAGTCAGGTCCATAAATATTGGGACATCGACACAATTCTAACATTTTTGGGTCTATACACCACCACAATGGATTTGAAATGAAACAAACAAGATGTGCTTTAACTGCAGACTGTCAGCTTTAATTTGAGGGTATTTACATCCAAATCAGGTGAACGGTGTAGGAATTACAACAGTTTGCATATGTGCCTCCCATTTGTTAAGGGACCAAAAGTAATGGGACAGAATAATAATCATAAATCAAACTTTCACTTTTTAATACTTGGTTGCAAATCCTTTGCAGTCAATTACAGCCTGAAGTCTGGAACGCATAGACATCACCAGACGCTGGGTTTCATCCCTGGTGATGCTCTGCCAGGCCTCTACTATAACTGTCTTCAGTTCCTGCTTGTTCTTGGGGCATTTTCCCTTCAGTTTTGTCTTCAGCAAGTGAAATGCATGCTCAATCGGATTCAGGTCAGGTGATTGACTTGGCCATTGCATAACATTCCACTTCTTTCCCTTAAAAAACTCTTTGGTTGCTTTTGCAGTATACGTTGGGTCATTGTCCATCTGCACTGTGAAGCGGCGTCCAATGAGTTCTGAAGCATTTGGCTGAATATGAGCAGATAATATTCCCCGAAACACTTCAGAATTCATCCTGCTGCTTTTGTCAGCAGTCACATCATCAATAAATACAAGAGAACCAGTTCCATTGGCAGCCATACATGCCCACGCCATGACACTACCACCACCATGCTTCTACTGATGAGGTGGTATGCTTAGGATCATGAGCAGTTCCTTTCCTTCTCCATACTCTTCTCTTCCCATCACTCTGGTACAAGTTGATCTTGGTCTCATCTGTCCATAGGATGTTGTTCCAGAACTGTGAAGGCTTTTTTAGATGTTGTTTGGCAAACTCTAATCTGGCCTTCCTGTTTTTGAGGTTCACCAATGGTTTACATCTTGTGGTGAACCCTCTGTATTCACTCTGGTGAAGTCTTCTCTTGATTGTTGACTTTGACACACATACACCTACCTCCTGGAGAGTGTTCTTGATCTGGCCAACTGTTGTGAAGGGTGTTTTTTTCACCAGGGAAAGAATTCTTCGGTCATCCACCACAGTTGTTTTCCGTGGTCTTCCGGGTCTTTTGGCGTTTGCTGAGCTCACCGGTGCTTTCCTTCTTTTTAAGAATGTTCCAAACTGTTGTTTTGGCCACGCCTAATATTTTTGCTATCTCTCTGATGGGTTTGTTTTGTTTTTTCAGCCTAATGATGGCTTGCTTCACTGATAGTGACAGCTCTTTGGATCTCATCTTGAGAGTTGAGAGCAACAGATTCCAAATGCAAATAGCACACTTGAAATGAACTCTGGACCTTTTATCTGCTCATTGTAATTGGGATAATGAGGGAATAACACACACCTGGCCATGGAACAGCTGAG